TATCAAATACATTGGATGTTCAAGCACAACATTTTGTATATTGACATTGATTTTTTTATTCTTTAAAATTACTCCTTGCTCCTTACTTCAGTCCTGAAAAGTGTATTGCTGTGCACCGAAGATCAATGAATCCAATATGGACACCCTGGCTCAGTATTGGGGTCCAGGGGTTTGTAATCAGATTTCCTTCTCCTAGGTGGATTGCCTTTCAGGGATTATGAGCTCCACCTAACAGAGCACTTTGTTTTAACTGACAGGCACTTGTCTACAGTGATCAGTTGAATTTATACTGATGGGTTTCAACAAGTTCTTTGACTGAAGGAGGAGGGACAGGGGTTATGTTAGGAGCGATTCGCCTTCGGTAATCACTTGCAACACCATTCCACATATCTGAAGAAGACTTATAATTAGTTTTATTCCTGTTTAAATGCTGCTGACCAATGTGTTTTAAAAACACTCAAATGGCTTTTTTCAAGCCACATTTTGATTTTATTAATAATGTTCATGCAAATCAAAATTTGGCTTTCCAAAAAGCCTTAAGTGCTCTTAAAACACGTCAATCAACATGCCTACAGAACGATCAAAATATTTGTTTGAAAATGTGATATGAAGAATATGGAATTTCATAATGAAAAGTGAAAACTAAAAGTCACTTTTTTCTCACTAGGATTCAGGAAAGCATAAAATGTTATACATACCTTCATTATAAGTTGTAGGATATATTCGTACTGCCTAGGAGAATCTTTAAGAATCTTTATATGGCTCCATTGCTGTTTCTTCCCCTTGCTGAACATATACTGGCAATGGCTCATGTCTGCATTGTATTGTTTCATCTGGCTACTGATCCGTCTGGGTTTCCACAGCGCTATAAGTGAACAATAAAATTTTGTAATGAGGAAATACAACAACATTAACATAACTGAAATATCCAGGGATATGTGTTATGTGCTTACCACAATTAAATCCGTCTTGATGTTTCGTATACAGGCTCGATCAGCATAGTATTCGCGAACCCTCGTCACTTTTAATTCCAGCTTCAGTTTTGAAATGATTTCACCGACCAATAGTATCATTAAAGTACATTTTCGTTGCATACCTTTTCGCGAAATGTTCTTTTCGATTTCCTGGTTGGTTTTGGCGACCAGCATTAGAAGAATTTGCCTTTGAAGTGGACGGCTCTATTATATAACTCTTACGAGTCGGCCATTTTGAGCGCGCATATCCGAATAAGGACTGGAGAGCACACAAAATCAAAACAAGTGTGCTCACATTTGTTTACATTTTTGACACATGCGCAGAAGCGACTGTAATCTAGCTTTAATGTTTAATAATTTTTCAACGGATGAGATGAAGCACTCAAACGTTCTGTTTGTAAATACGTCTTCGAACTGAAAAAAACTTCGTCGTGTATACCTGTTGTAGTTGCATTTAAAATAAGTAATGTTGCTCTGTTTTTCCTCTTACAGTATATTGTCGTGAAACCAGATCAAGTGTCAGTATTGAAAGGATTATTTATACCTGGTTGTAGCAACTGTTCATCTAAAGCGCAGAAACAAGCTGTAGGAATAGTTGGTGCAGTCATCATGCCTCATAATTTCTATTTACACTCGGCTCTTGTCAAGGTAGTATTTATGTGTGTAGCGTTAGTAGTATGGATGTGTGTAGCAGGCCTTAAAATATCTTTTCCAAGGCCGTCTGACAAAATGTCCGGTGACGTTGAGTTTGGGTCGGACATATGTCCGATGACTTTCAGTTCAGTTTTGACTCGGAAATATGTCTGAATGACACAAATGAATAAACGGTAAATGTTGTAAAGATATTAAATAATTTCTTTCATACTTATGTCCAAGCCAAAATTAACTCACTTGCCAGAACAGCAGTGTTAAAAAAGACTTCGACAACTTAAGCCCGTTTTCCACTTCACCATTTCGCTCGCCGCCCCGCGCTCGACTACGTTAAAACAACATTTCCAGTACACCTTTTATACAATAGTACGTCGGACAAAGCTACAGTTCGGTCGGACAATTCACTTGGGTCGGATAAACAATAAACCTCAGTTTCACTTTGGTCGGACAGAATGTCCGGTGGTTTCCTCTCTACGTCGGACAATTTCACGAATGGGTCGGACAATGTCCGTGACCGACCGATATTTTAAGGCCTGGTGTAGCGTTGGTAGTATTGATGTGTGTAGCGTTAATAGTATGGATGTGTGTAGCGTTGGTAGTATTGATGTGTGTAGCGTTGGTAGTATTGATGTGTGTAGCGTTGGTAGTATTGATGTGTGTAGCGTTAGTAGTGTTGATGTGTGTAGCGTTAGTAGTGTTGATGTGTGTAGCGTTAGTAGTATTGATGTGTGTAGCATTAGTAGTGTTGATGTTATGTAGCGTTAGTAGTATTGATGTGTGTAGAATTAGTAGTGTTGATGTGTGTAGCATTAATAGTATTGATGTGTGTAGCTTGATGTGTGTAGCGTTTGTAGTATTGATGTGTGTAGCGTTTGTAGTATTGATGTGTGTAGCGTGGCGCCATCTTTTTTGTTGTCGTTTATTAAACGTTTGGGAAATTTAGTTTTAAAATTGTTTCTCTCCTCAGTTTTTAAGTTTGTTGATGAAGTGTACCACCAGAGCATCAAGTCGGAGTTTTGAAAAGCTTTACAATCGCCACAAGGCGAAATTTCCTCAAATTGAGGGCATAAAACATCTTTAACAAACGACTGTAAATGTTGTAAATCGCCAGTCCACTTTGCAGCTTGCGCTTTTCAAATAGTCAATTTCGCTCGGTGTAGTCGCACAATCGTCTTCCATGACCTTATAAAATACGTTGTAAATACGGCGCTAAAAAATGTAGGTTTGAACGACTCAATGACCTAACTGTTAATTACTTTCAAAAATAGTGTTTGGAATATTTTTCTGGTAATTCAGACACAAACTACGCGGAATCTGGCTTGCGGTTGCTGCGACCAAGTTAATGCACACCGATGTGAAATAGTCATATCTTGCTAATCGTTACTGATTGTAGAAATATATTTGACACGCCACCTTATATGGTCGTCACCGATAACAACAACTGAGAAACCCGGATTACATTAAACTCAAACAGCCTGCTCTGCTGTAAAACGTATCGTGATTAAATAAATGGTTATTGTTATTATTATTATTATTATTGAGCACCGTCAACCGTCCCGCTCGAATGAACCCATGCTTGAATTGCAAAATAGAACAACTAATTGGTTCAGAAGTGAACAAACTTATGATCGAAGCTCGCTACTATCTTTCTTACAGTCTTCACTAAATCAAATGTTTTATTTTCATATAGTCGAGAAAAGTTGACAGAAGTAAACATCAGGAAATTAAGGAAGCTAATATGTATTATACTATAGAATCAGGTATAACTGCTTCATTGCAAGTTTTGGCATACTTAATTTCTTAGGGGGTGTTTATATGGAGACTTTGCCATCCCGGGTACCCGAGCTAGCTCGCTTTGCCGCGCTGATTTCATCCCGCGTGTTCACATGAGACCGCTATAGAAATAGTATAATATAAATATGTTTTCCCACGAACCTGAAATTAGCACTTTTGCGAGCAACTTTCACGGTTATAACCACAGAATCGTTCACAGAGGCGTTTTAAGATCGAAATCTGTCGAGAAGGTCTTATTTATAGCAGTATAATCGCGTGAACCGCACGCCAGGCGAGCCAGCCCGGGTCTTTGCATTTATGTGGGAAATTCCCAGCCCCGTCACCTGAAGTCGAGACAAGATTTTACTTAAGCGCAAAATGAAATTTCGTAGGAAATAACAAAGGCGGGATCTCGCCTAAACCAGGCCAGCTTGGATTGGCTCGTCTTATTTAAACAGCCTCTTAGTTTGTGTTTTAATTACTGTTTAAGTTACTAAGATATAATTTAAGTTACTATATATGTCTTATCTCCTAGGAATTGCTTTATTCATATCGTTCCTTATCAATTTATTTGTCGTTACTGTTTTTGCGGAGGTAGGTTTATACTACATACATCAATACATACATACATACATACATAGGTGTATACTATATATACATACATACATACATACATATAGGTGTATACTATATAAGAAGAAAGCTGCGGTACAACTACATGAAAAATAGAGGGAGAACTTCGCGAGCGAAGAATTTTATTTCATGTAGTGTCATTGCGAAAAGTGGTTCCAGCCCAAAGCTCAAGGACAAAAGCAAGTAGTCGCTTCGCGCGAAATAATTCTCTAGTGGAAAACCGGCTTAAGGTGCATCTGGTTTAGTCAGAAATCGTAAAATTCAAATTTATTATTTTATTCGTACGTTTTCATTTCTTCCACTGTAGGGATTATATGGCCGATCAAATAGCTATGTGGTAGGTGAATATTAATTAATGAGCTAAAATTGTGATTACTGCGTGATCATGTCTCTTACCAACTAAATCATTTAAACAATAACGTCAAGGACAATCATGTACTATTAAATAATACCCTGGTTCCTAAAACTAATACGTTTACATGTTTGAGGGTAGAACATTGAAAATTGAACTAGGAGAAATAGGAATTAGGGCGATGAGGCGCATAAAACCCTGCAAGTATGTCTCACCTGCAACTCTACAAACTATTTATAAAACATTAGTACAGCCTTATTTTGATTATTGTTCCCCTTTATGGAACAATTGCGGCAAATTAATCCAAGATAAACTGCAAAAATTCCAAAATCGTGCGGCAAGGGTTATTACCAGAGCCAGTTACGATGTTAGATCCGCTGATATGTTGGACACCCTTGGTGGGGAAACACTTAATGTAAAAAGATCGCGAAATAGATCAATATTAATGTATAAAATACTGAATGACCACACTGCCCGAAGTCTAAGAGATTTGTTCCGCAAAAAAAATGTAGGTCAGAATATACCTATATAATCTTCGAAATAGCGAAACAGATTTAGCCCTTCCAAATCCTAAAACTGAATTTCTATAGTGTGTCATCTTGTGGAAAGATCTTCCACACCTGTTAAAATAAAATAAAATAAATTCAGTCCCAAGAAACACAAAAGACTTGTGTCAAAAATAGTAAAACAATTCAGTCGCCTCAGGCTCTGTGATTATCGGGGAATATTCACCTCCTTCGTCTCGGTGAATATTCGCCGATAATCACCTCGCCTTTGGCGAATAATTGTTAAATGTTTGTAATATATTTTACTCTTTTGACTTGTGTTTTGATTTCTTCTTTTTCAATTTATATATTTGTAAATAATTCTACTTATTCTAGATATTTTAGTAATTGTGTGACGCCCCTCGTGGAAATCAGCTGCATGTATATAGTTGTTCGAGGCTGGCGTGTTTAAATAAAGTTTCACATACATACATATACGTTATATTCGTGGAATTTTTGGAGTAATTCGTATTACTTAATAATTACGTAATTCGTATTATTGTAATTTTACGATGTGTATTTCTATTTTTGCAGAATGGAATTTGCCATGATAAGAATATTCCTTCCCATGGCGTTTTTCCGGTAAGATATCATTCATTTTTTAGTGCGAAGTTTCTTCGAAACTTTGCACTATTGTGACGAGTGGCAAAAATTCACATCAGTGACCGATCAGTCATACATCAGATAATGCCATATCTAAAAAACTTCAAGGTTGAACTATTTTTAACGTTAATTAAAACGGTATTTGTAGCAAAAGTAAAATTTATTTTATTTGCTTTGCCAACTAGGGCAGTGTCACCACAACAGCATATGCCAATTACTGTCGGCCCTTTTAACTAACCCATGCACCCTGTCAACTTTCCCTGTGGGGGGGAACCAGAGTTCCCGGAGAAAACCCACGACTTTCGGCAGAGCGTTGACTTTTGGTCTTCTCACATGAGGACTGGGTTCGAGTGGCATTGAGAAAGTTCTCAGTGAGATTTGAGCCTGCGAGGTGAAAGGCAAGTGCGCTAACCACTTCCCCACCGAAGCCCCATGAAATAATTAAATATATCATAATAATAATGAATTAATAATAATTATAATTATTTAATATTTTCCTAAATTTGATTCAGCTTTACGATCAATATTTAAGTTGTACTAAACGTCTACATCACAGCAATGTTAAAAGTTTAATAAGATAACAAATATGGGGATTCGTGCCATGTGTTGTTCTATGGCTTGCGTGGGCCGTGTGGATTAGCACCCCCCGTATCATCAAGTTTTTGTGGGAACTGCAAGTCAGCAAAATCAGCACGCACAAATAAATATGGCGACGCGTATGAGTTCTGCTCGAAATTTTAGAACCGGCCTTGGGCAAACGATTTAACATTGATATGTATTATTTCGCTGCAATTTTACACTATATTTCAGAGCTAAAGGCCCGAATTTCGCCTCAAAAGTCAAAACATGTCAATTATATTTGTTGACCATTTGCCGATTTGAAAATATCCAAGACAGGGTTGACTGATATTGTCAATGTTGAAAGTGTTGTGTGCGATTTTGCCGATGATTTAAGGTACGTTACCTTCAAATTATATTTACTAATGATTTATTACATGTACACGATATCTGGTGTTATTTATAATTATTTGCATACTGTTCTCTAAAGTATTTTGCATGTTTATTTATAATTTTCTTTAATATAGGTAATAATATAGATGAAAAAATTTCTTGATGCTGATTGGAGTGCAATTACAGCATTTGCAACAAACTCACTCGTGCATGTTTTTTTCCAAATTGCACTCGAAACCATGCTATTACCTATACTTATAGTGATATTTTAATTGTCAATTTAATATCGTAGCTCAATTTACTGTATATCACGAAATTTAGTTAAACAACTATATTCAGGGGCGTAGGAAGCATCAAAAAGTGGGGCACCGGCTTCCAGGGCACTTTTAGATTTTGAAAAGGGCACCTAAAAATTTTCCAGGAAATGTGGCGACGTGGGAGGGGGATTTCCCGCCATACTATACCGAAATTGCGCGTTTTTGACCAGATTTCTTTTAAAAACATCGAAATTTCCAAACAAAAAGGCACCTTCGATGTTAATGTAGTATTTACAGCAACATTAGCTTCTAGAAAAAGGGCAATTTTCATCCCAAAAAAGGCACTTTTAGTCCTTTGAAAAAATTTAGGGGGGGGGGAGGGTGGCACGTGCCCCCTGTGCCCCTTCGGTTCCTACGCCCCTGACTATATTCTATGACTGTAGCCAGTATAGGCAGACACGTTACTTTATAAATAACATGAAATATAATATCTTTGTCTATTATACATGACTATATATAACAAGACGCCTGCTCAGGCGTTCACACTGGCCTTATAATGCGTGGCTGCGTGCTAATACGCAGGTAATATACTACAAACATTCGACTATGTTGGGTTTAAAAATTCAATGAAAACTACATAAATATATAGTAAACGAACCGAAGGCCCCCAAGTCACAAACGTTTAAGGATTTTAAAACGTCCGTAGGCAGGCTATAGCTAGGATTCAGCTAACATTAATATGCAGGTAATATACCAGAAACATTTGAGTATGCTAAGTTTCAAAATTCAAAGAACACTATATCATTAGTAATAAACAAACAAGACAAAAAATCCTATCGCATATAGTTTCCGATCCTTAGCTGGCGGCCATTTTGACTTGAGCCTGCGATCCATTGCAGGTCAGCGGTTCACTTCATGAACGTAGGTCGATTTCACGTTGAGGAAAAATCTCGAAGAATTTTCGCACAGAAAATTAGGGAACCTAAACACTGGGCCTTACGGCCAGTGTAATAAATGTTTGTTTAGGCTCGTCTATATTAAATCTATACTAGAAATACATGCATGCAACAACCCCTCGCCCGATATTTTCCAAACCTTGTTTCAACATGAAGTATTCATAATACGCCAACACGAATCACGATTTTTTAAATTTTTGTGCAAAGCTGCAAAAAATAGATGAAACTTGAACACTTTTAAACACAGAACTATCCATTTCTAAAATATATAAAGTAGGTATATTATTTTGGTTTCTATGGGCTTTATTTTAATGTAAAATTCAAAACGAAACTCTACGTAAAACGTTTTTAAATGTGAATTGAAATCAGCTGCTTTTTGCCGATATTTATATAAACTCTTCAACTCAAGCTTCTACTTATTACTCGCACCTTGAAAGGAAATAAATTTAATTCGTACAGGACGCTGATAAAAATAATTTGCTTTCTTTTTTATAATGAACTTCAACATGCAAAGGTTAATTTAACTAAGAAACGTTCGCAAACAATGGACAGGAATGACTTGAACATCGAGAACAAAGTCCACATTAATACAAAGTCATACATAAACAATTGAAACAACCTTGCCCTACACTTTAGGATTTCTCATACTAAATCAGTTCTTATAAATGTTTACGTTTACTGTAAAAATGGTAAAAAGTTTTACAATAACATGCATTTTTTATATTTGTTGCCTCTTCACTCCTGGCAAACAGCCATATTTTGAGATCAGTGAGATGACCACTCACGGTAACCCACGCCCGCGATCATTGATGAACTTTGGATTTCGCTAATGCTTTCGTTTCGCCGGGTGTAAATAGCCGGGAGGAATAATTTCAACCCTAATCTATCTTTCTATGAAAATTAATCTGCTATAAAAGCATAGTCATATAGCGACAGCATTTTGCTGATATAAAAATATAATTTGCGTGCTGTATAGTCTCATATAGTCTGTACCCTCAATCGGTATCGCAGAATTTGACAAATGATGTAAACAATAATGTTTTAATAAGGCCTGCATATTGTAACGTGTGCACAGCCACAATGAGTTTTATTAATACGATATGGTCTTGGATAGTTGCTACCTTTCCATTATAGCAGTCGGTATTCATAATTTTGTTAAAAATATAGCCCTGACAACTATTTTGAATCTAAATAAAGCCATAAAAACAAACTAAATTGTTTTATGAATTATTACTCTATTTAAATAGTTGTCTAGGGCCATACTATTTTTGACAAAACTACTTTTCCATCACTTTTACCAGCCTACTTTACTTTTCCAGCCCGCTCTATAATTTTATTTTATATTTTTCAGCCCGCGCAGATGCATAGTTATATCTGGCCAAAGAAAGGAGAGTTTCTTTGATTTTGAATGGCAAGAAGCTCTCACATCAATAACCACAATGATGCACTGATTTTTTCGAGAACTGACGTCAATGTGACAACATACATACGAACTTAATTCATACATACGAACTTAATTCAATACCTCCCAGGGCGCTGAAAATCACTGCAGAGGAGTTGGCTGGTTCGCTCACTACCATATACAATCAGGTACTTGTACACGGAGATTGGACTGCGGATTGGAAATGGGGAGAATGGATTCCAATACATAAAAAAGATGATCACTTATCGAAGGAAAACTACAGACCGGTTACTATATTGATCGCTGTTGATAAAGTGTTCGAACAGCTTCTATGCGAGCAACTACTATGTGAATTAATAGATAAGATCTTTGATGATTTTATGTCCGCGTATAGGAAATCGTATAGTTGCGAGACCACTCTAATTCGTCTAGTGGAGGACTGGAAACATGTACTCGATCACAACAAAGCCGTAGGAGTATTATTATCAGATATGAGTAAAGCAACGTCAAGCATATGGTATGTCAAATAGTTCCTTGGCAATCCTAGAATCCTACTTTACGGACCGTAAAAACAGGGTAAGACTTGGCAATTATGTTAGCAGCGATTGGAAAAATGTTACGCGTGGACCTGTTTTGTGGAGTATATATCAAATTACAAAACGATCTGTTCTACGAGAACAAAAGCTCACAACTCTCAATGTATGCAGATGATCAGCAACTCTATTCTTTAAATCCAACAATCGAAGCGGCATCAATGGTGCTGGAGATGGATGGAAGAATTACGGGAGAATGGTACATTTGGAAGCCAACCTTAGTAAATACCAGGTTATGATGATGACCAAAGGTAATGGCAATATTACAGATGTGGATATCGATAAATATACAATACGTCAGACGAAACAGATGAAGCTTCTTGGAGAACTTTGGATAAAGATCTAATTTAATTTCTCAGGCTGAGAAAGATGAGAGATGAGGCTTATATATAAAGCAGCTATTATGCCATACTTTAATTACTGTAGTCTTGTCTGGCATTTTTGTAAGGGAAGTGAAAAAAATAAACTAGAGCAGACTAATGAAAGATGGCTAAGAGCAGTTTTTTGCGACTGGGTTCCTCTTACGCAGAGCTCTTAACGAGGCTAATATGACCACATTATATAATATTCGGTTGCAAAATATAGCAATCTTCATGTGTAAAATTAAACAAAAACTGTTACCAAACAGTATTCTAGATTTAAAAGTACTCAGTTGACTTATAATCTTAGGAACTCTGATTTTCGTCGCCCTAGATTTAATGGGATCAAATACGTACGGCAAACATTTCTTAAGATACTTCGGTCCGTATTTATGGGACAAAATTTTACCAGAATTAAGAACTCTACCTTCTATTCAAAGCTTTAAAGGCCTGATTCCACGGGCGCTTTTTCTCGGCGAAATGCGAAATATTTCGCTTGTTTCTTTTGAATTGTGAGCAATCAAGTAGAAATAATTTATTCGAGTGGTCGCAATTCAAAAGAAACAGGCGAAATATTTCGCATTTCGCCGAGAACAAGCGCCCGTGGAATCAGGCCTTAAGAACAATATCAGGAAAGCAGATTTGGCCGACTTAGGCAGCGTTTACACTGTACCGTTTTCGTAGCGTTCTCGTATTGTTTGAGAGAACTAGACTATTGTCTTGCGTTCCCTTGAGGATTAAGAACAATACGAGAACGCTACGAAAACGGTACAGTGTAAACGCTGCCTTAGTTGACACCAATTCTTATAAGAATTGTGCCATAAGTGTAGCATTTAGTACTATAATATTTAAATAATCAGATTATGCATGCACATGAATATGTAAATAGTAAATTAGCTAGACGTAATTGTTTTATATTGTTGTAAATAGGATTATTTTAAGTCTCCCCGATTAGTGAAAGCTTGATTCTTTTGTTATAAGACATGACACAATAATAAAGTTATCAATTAATTATCACAGATGTCCTTGCCTGTCATAAAAGACATTGTTGAGTTAAGCAAGCACATCTACTGTGTAAATTCGTTGGTTTTGATGTCAATTATAGGCACTTAAAGAAACCAGGTGATCTTGATACGCGGAAAAATACTGGCACTAGTTGTCAAATAGAAATCCATTTTATGATTAAAACAACTGAATATCTCCTGTAATATACTTTATTTCGATTCCATATTTTTGTCAGAGCTATAGTTCCCATAACCAAACATAATTACAAAATTTCAACTAGTTTCATAAAGAATAGTGAAAGATATAATTGTCTGAATACATCAAAATGGATTTCTATTCGGACAACCCTTTCTGAGCGCTGATTGCCTAAAATACGAACACGAGATCACCTGGAAGACAATAGAGTATACCAGAATTAAGTCTTGCCAGGCAAATAAATTATCTAAACACTATCTTGTAGTTCTGTTATCATTTACTGTCGGAATAGTTCGGACCACATCATTTGCAACTCAGTTTGAGTTGCAAAGCTATGAACAATGTTTCCATAATTTTTCAAACTTTGCACTATCCTTGGATCCCTGGTCTTCTATCCTGCTGGAAATACAATATTACTCCTGTACAGTACTTTTACTACACTAAAGCCCGGATCAAACGCGGATTAGAGTGCACGAGTGTCACACGTCCTTGGTTAGCTGTTCTTAATGCTTTACCAACAATATCAAGTTGAAACATAGTTGGAACTCTCCTCACACCTCGTTTGACTGGGGCTTCATTTGTGCAAACTTTCGTGACCCATGCATGCTAAACTGACAGTCAATATGATCTATCTATCGATTAATCATTCAGTGGAGTCATCAATTGATTATTTCATTAATCATCCCCTATGTCTATTATTCTACCTTCCATCTTCATTCAAAACCACTCAGTTATTGCCAGTAAACCAGGCAACTAACAGTTGAGCAAGCAACCAGTCGTCAAGTGAATATACTAAATTACAACTGCGATCTAACCAAGTGTATCTCATTCCCCATTTGAGCTTGTTGCAACGTTTTTGTAATGTATTTTTAGAACAATTCAGACAGTGTTGACGGTGATCTTTATAAAGGGGTAAGTAATTGTTCGTAATGAGTTGATATATCATGATCGCCGATTTTGATTAAGGACACCTTTGGTAAGTTAGTTTTTCTTCAGGAAATTAGTGGAAAGAGCTACATGTAGAAATTAGAAAAGCTCGTGCTAATCACGTGATCTCATGATCAGGGTATATAGTTGGTTCAAAGCCGGATTAGCGCTAATCTTCGGTTAAGTACAGCCCGCTGTTTTGATTTGAGTACATTTGCAAATCCGTTTATTTCAAGCTTTAGAGACAAAAACTTCTGGAAAATATTTGCATGTTTCTAAACAACCGGTTGAGAAGATTGCTTTGAAGTTTTTTATCCACCTAGGATTAAGTTCACCGGCTTTTGAACAACGCGGCCCATGCATAAAATTAGTTAACACAAATAGTACAAAAACTAAGAATGACATACTGACCAAATGTCACAGTATAACATGGTTACTGGAAACCAATAAGAAATTCCTTTCGAGGTTGTAAAAAAAATTCCAACGACATCTTACCATTCTCATAAATAAGATTCGTATGTGTTTTGTTTTTGATCAACAGTATGTAGATTTCTGTCGCATGCACTGAATAATGCTATGTCTCTAGGGTATATATCTTGGTTGTAAATATGGCTCTGCAGCATTATATATCTGGAGTATTGGTATTTTAGCTGCTGGACAGAGTTCCACAATGACTGTAAGTAGAATGCGTATAAAAAAACTGGAAATGTTTTGTATCATAATTGTGCACTGGACTGAAAAATAACGTGTTTGCTTTTCGATAAATCATCAAGTGTACAGTATCCAGTTTAAGTTGTTACAGTATCCACTAGTTTAGTCTATTTGAAATATTTATACAAAAACATGTTCAGTATAAAGTATTTTTTCATGTCAAGGAATAATATAGTAGTCAATATATGTCAAGGAATAGTATAGTAGTCACAATGAGACCGTAAATGCACTGCATCGGTACCTATATATGAACAGGCTTCGTCTTTAAAATCGTGTTCACAGAATATTAAACAGACCAACATTGTACATAAAGTTTCTGCTTTGGAATGAGTGTCGCAAAAGATCTCATTACTATGTTACTGTTTATACATACCTTAAATAGTGAAATTTGACGATCATCTTTAGGGCACAATTCCACTGAAAAACACATTATACAATATTGTAGACAATAAACATGTGTCTTACATAAATAAACATTATTTAATCAATATCGCCTTCCTGATCGAGATTATTTGCCATCAAAAACACACATTTGGACACAACCTCCGTTTTATGGCATATTTGAGCGACGAATGAGGGATTTTCCGATTGCAACAAGTAATGTTATCTCGGATGTTTTGTATAGTTGCTATGTAAGTCTACCGCCTTGTATTTCCTTTTAATTCACATGCAACTGTATGACAGTTCAGCAAAATTCGACTTTTGGTTGTTTCGAACAAAAATGCATTGACAAACAAGAAAGCACTCGCTGTGAATTAGTTGCAGATAGCTGAACAAACTCGAATATGAAGCATTGCCAAACTTGACATTGATCATGTGGTTGTTTAGTGTATATTGTGTAATATCAAGTTTTCAATTTTAATACAGGGTACCTATGCAGGACAGTTTGCGATGGAGGTAAGTGCCTCGTCATTTCACTGAAGAAGTCTGCTTTACATTGCTACTGCAATTCAAAGAAAACTCCTGAAGCTATACGATTTTAATATTCATCGTGCTTAATATAAAGCGTACATGGATTGATTACAAATGTTTGTAGTTCGCTATAACTGCGGCTATATTGGAAAAACGCAGCCTAGTCCCAGGCTCTCTCTCTCTCTCTCTGTACGCTACTTTGATATATTTAAATAAGACTTATAAATTTTATGCCTGGGTGTGCTGTGCGGAACGCTTCAGCGAGAGAGCCTAGCAGATTTCAGTAAAATGGTCCCTGATTTCAAAAAGTTGTCCCTGGCCTGGTTACCAAGCATACTGCATTTGTAAATAGAAAATGTTATGGAAATTTCCTTTGTGTTCATAATTAAGTCATTAGTTTTGCTCTAATGCTCTCGGAACAAAGAAATACTCAAATAGGCTACGTTTCGCTACCATACGGTCAGAATGGAATAGCGGGCTAAATATGACTCGTGTTTACTAGAACATAAAGCCATTAAATATATATATATATATATATATATAATTTAATTTCTTAACTTAAAATATAGTCACAACTCTGAGTTTCACGCTCAATGCGATCTTCAGGCGACAATGTTTAAATCTCAATAAAAAAATTTTTTAAAATTATTTTTTTATTGAGATTTAAACATTGTCGCCTGAAGATCGCATTGAGCGTGAAACTCAGAGTTGTGACTATATTTTAAGTTAAGAAATTAAATTATTTGCTCTACGTTATTAAATGGTATTGAGCACTCTTTCTACACTGTAAAATTTGATCATCTTTGGTCTCATTAATATATATATATGTATATATATATATGTATGTATATATATATATGTATATATATATATATATGTATATATATATATATATATACACAGGGTGTATCAAAAAAAACTGAACAGATTTGAAATTGCTCTCAATTTCGCAAAATACCTATTTGTATCCGTTTTTTTTATATATATATAGCTTCTTTGGGTACTTATAATGTAGAATAATGAAAAAAATTTCTTGAACTCAAATTTTGTGAACCAGGGGGGGGGGGG